TACTAATAGAGTGGTTAATTAATGTCTAAAACCCAGGCCAACTTTTCCCCAACTCAGTTCAGAGGCTCAAAGATGGTGAAGAATGAAAAAATACTGCAAGTGTACTGTGGACTTACCTCCTCCTTACCTCCTCGCATTCTCGCTGCCAGGGAGCACAGACTGAGAGTGTCTGCGCACGATGGGGGCATCTTGCAGGGTGGTTTCTCCTTGTGCAAGAGCAAAATTATCTGTCTCAGCCACATCTCCATTTCATGCCTTACTCAGAAGCTGCTGAGACGTCTCAGTTGAGGTGAGGGGAGCATCCCCAGCCACAGGCAGGAATCAGGGCTAATTCCCAGTAGCTGCCCTTGTCACTGGCCTTGGACACATTGGGGTGACAGCCAGGCMTTTTCTCTCTCAGCATCTGAGTGTAACCAATGATTTTTCACCCAAATCAGCCTGATCACATCCATATTYATTGCCTACTGTTTTGTTACAGAAAGGCAGCACCTCCTTAGCTGCTTCAGATCTTAAGGGACTGCCAACACCACACTGCTATTGTTATGGTTTCTCCATGATCTCTGYACTCCTCGGGCTTCTGCCAAATCTATCTTTTAGGTTTTGAAGAGATGTTTGGACTTCTTAATACCAAACAAATGGTATCATTGGGAGGTCTGCTTGCTGAGCATGGTTCAGATCAATACACCAAGCTCTTTAAGGCTCGTGGAAGGGTTCAGGCTCTGAGCCCCAAACAACAGACATAATACTTTGCCTGCTCTGGGTTTTGTTTGCAGGAGTGGAAGGAAGTATCAGCTGCAGGACCAGAGTCTGTAATTCACCTCACTGCCCCAGCTGGGGGAGAGTGCAGTCCTCTCTTCTCTGAGCTGCTCCTAGAAGCAATATTTGTTGATACTGGCTTACCATCCCAAAGGGCAAAATTACTATGAAATGTTTAAAGGACCATTTGAAACCCGAGAAGRGGATGTTTTTAGTAATGTGGAAAGAGCCAAATACCTTAGAAGAGAAATATTCCAGCTTTAAGAATTAATTACTACTTCCCAGTAATGCAGGCTTGCGCAACTTCCCAGACAGATACATTTTAATGGAAATATTGTGCACAGGTCAAGAGCAAAATAGACGCGAGCCCACAAACTTGGATATGTGGGTATCTCTACCCAAACCCCTGCCCAGCAAAGCCCAAAGAACAAGGCACGGGGCTAAAGCAGACACCTCTACAGCAGCTCACACCATGAGRGTCTCAGGTGAGGATTGCTCCTAGGGCTGATTATTTTCTGTCACTGAGGGAAAATGTGGATAGCAAACAACCAAGTGCATTTTTCAAAACAGCAGATCTGACATCTATGAAGCTCTATAATCATTATGCAAAATGCACTACAAAGCTTTTCAGCTGTAAATCAAGTGCTACAGAGTACTGAAATGAAAGCTCMATCTCTATATCCTATTTTGTCTGTTGATAGTGTGAGAAGATAGCATATAGCTGATTATGCTCCACGATATGCACTGGCATAACAAGTCACAATATACTTTTATAGTTCTTCCAGCCAAGAGCATCAAGCATTGAATGTAGCAAGAAAACTTCATGAACCAATTCTCTCAAAACCATTTTCAATAAAAAGGCTTTGCTTTCTCCTTCTTTTTAGATAGGTGAAATGAGGAACATGGTGGAAGACCAAGTCTGAGAATTAATAGGGAAATCTGCATAGTCAATTACCTCAGATCCAAGCTGAGCTGCTGTTCTGTGAGCTTTGTTCTTCTCATAACAARCTTTTCAGGGATGTCTCTCTAAAGGCACCTCAGGGACAGCTCTTTGGAGTGTTGCATGGAGCTCAGTGCAGTGACCCAACAACAGAATCACCCTCAAAATTATTGCTCCTAGAAAGAYAATGGACTTTGGATCCTCACCTTAGGAGAAACTGAAGAGATCCTGCTGCCATAYTGGTGTGAATCACCAGTGGTCTTGTGCCAAGTGCAACTGCCACAGAAAGTCACCTTTGCCTAAAGGACTTTATTCTGAATCTGTTCAGACCTTCCATTCACCAAAAGCTAATGAAGTCCTTCAGTAATAAAATTTCACTTTTGTTCCCTGTCTGAATCTTGAATCCAGCTTATGCCTATGGTGTGAGCACAGTCCTCCTTCACAGCCTGTCTTGTCCATGGTCCTTCATACAGACAAACCACACAGTAGGACATGAACTTGCAGCACTGACCATTGCCTGTGCTGAGAGCCAAGTCCCTCTTAAGAGACAGTGAGGAAGCTGCCTGGAKCCAGGTGCTCGAGTGGGGCAGAAAGCAAAAGGGACATTCATAAAGCTTTTGAAGAAAACATCCCTATCTCTGTGTAGGGGTATGCAGCTTCTGAGCTGAAGTGCACAGAACAGGTTGATGGTAGCTGCTATTTTAAAATTAGCCAAGTCTTACAGCATTACTGGATGATTTCAGAGCTTGGAGATAAGCAGACAAAATWGTACAGCAAGGGGGAGATGCTGATGCAGTAGCAGCCATAATAGTGTGTGATGCTGCACACATCCCTGCTTCTGAAAACCCACTCATCTGTCTTGTCAGGGAAAATTGCTATGAGTCTGTTTCATAGCGTAGGTGGTGGCAGGAAGGAGGCAGATGCCTTTTTTCCTTTGATCAAGGAGAAAGGCCAGGCTGTGCATCACTTACACTCCTGAAGCCACCCTGCCCTCTGTATGAAGGGCTGAGAGACTGGGGATTGCAAGTAGAAGGGCATAAGTGGCTGTAGCCAAGGAGAAACAAGGCTTTGGAACTCCTCTGCCAGCACTTGAAGGTCTGCCCACCCTGCACTGGTGTGCCCCCATTTAGTCACTCAGGACTGGAAAAAATGCTGGAGTAAAATAAGCCTAGAGCCAGCAGGTTCTTCCYGTGCTTTGCCTGTCAGCTCAGGGTTGAAAATTCCTGGGTGAGAGTAGATCTATGCCAGCCAGGGAAAATCAAACAAACAACATAAATGCCTAATATACGTACCTGTACCCAAAAGTGTTATCTAGAGTGGCTCAATGCAGCTGCTGYCTTAGGCTGGAGGAAGATCAGAGCAGCCCCCCTTCCCTGCCATGGGCATGGTCAGCCAGATTCCTCATTACATCCCTGAGGGGCTCATCCTGCTCCTGACATGTGGTTGTGGCAGCCCAACAGCATCGGAAGTGTGGGGAGAAGACAGGAGGGTTTGCACCTTGACCAGAACATGGGTGCCTGTGTAGCAAGAGCCACCTCTTCAGCTTTTTCCCATCAGAGAAAGCAATGGGGAAAATGGTTGCATTTATCCTCCTGCTCCTGCCCATCCCTGCCTCTGGAGTGCCCACTGGCTCCTGCACAAACTCTCCCCCTGCATCACAGTGGGGACACAAGCTCCTCTTTGCCAGAGGCAGTGGGAGGCACCCAAGTCACTGCCTAATGTGATTTTTCACCTGGCCATTGAGGAGATGCAGACAGGTCCAGTACACATTACCTGCCCCTTTAGTGTATTTTGTATCCATTTGTGCACTGAATATCTTTAGCAACCTGCTTGGTGAAATTCTGTGCTGGATACATGAGTAGGAAATYATTTCCAAAGACAAAAGCTACAAGTTAAAAAACAATAAAAACTATAGCAGGGTGTTATTTTGCCTTGAAAATGATTTGTTATCCTGGTTTCAGGATGGTGAAATGTTTCACAGGTATCCCACTTGTGATTTTTCAAYTCCTCTTCAAATTTCCTCAGGGATGCATGGCCCGTGTGGTGAGTTCARGTCTGCCAGCTCGTTCTCAACCAATCCCATCCCCTGCTCCCTTCAAGCCCAGAGTCCTGGGCCTGGCAGAGCAACTCTCATAGTGAAGGAACATTTAACATGTCTTAAATACTATATTAACATGTTTAAACAGTACTTTGATTTGTCCAGGCTGTCACCATGCTTTTGACATTAATTCACTCCAGGAGTTTTGGAGTCCCAGCTTGCAGTCCCAGTTTCCTTCTGTTCCTGCAGGTCAGGGTATGAGCTCTCCTGTGCCCTTTGTAGGGCATTACAGGGGACAGACCTACAGATGATGTGCCTGGACTGAAGATGTGCACACAGCTCTGGGTGGGGAATGGTGCTGCTGGCACCCACAACCCTGCCCATTACTCACACAGAGAGCTTCTGCACAGAGCATCGTCCTTACCTTGCTCAGTCACCCTTCCCTCCATTGCCACCATCAGGARGACTCATCTGCAGATAGAGTGAAAGTGGCCCAGGAACTTTCAAGTCCCAGGGGTCAGAAAACAACAGGGACTGCCCACTGACTGCAAGGCACTGCACCCACYTGCCTTTCTTAACATAAGGGAAGAAGAAAACAGTCTTGGACTTAATCTATGAGATTTTATAATATAAAACCTTACTGGAGTTGCACTTGAGCGAGGACAGTGAGTTTCCTCTCTACAAATGAATCCACTTCCACACTTTCTACTCAGCATGGAGCAATTTCTTACACACATAATTCAGAGGCATACTGGAAGGGTAAAATCCACATTCCATGCCCAGGCATCCAGCAAAGAGTTAATAAAACCCATTCGAGTGTGGTTTAGAGCTAGTTAGTAAGAGTAAAGTCTGACCCGTTTCCAAAGCTACGAAATTGCCCTAGGGAGGATAAAGGTGTGATTCCTTTTAAATGCAGCTATTTCCTGTGCAGGGAACTTACGCATCAGTCCTTCCTATCACACACCTCCAGCAAAAGCAGCAGCCATCCCACTCACTCCTCTGCTGCGGATTGCTCAGCACTTTGTTCCACAGTAATCGGCAGGAGAAACTCAACCCTCCTGTTAAATGCTTGGRGCTCAAATGATTAATTCTGTAGCACAGATCTCTAAAGCACATCAGAAATTGGAGCTCATTCCTAACAGCCTATCAGCACTCTGACTATTACAAGCACAAGCAAAACAGCAGCTTTGAGGAAGTAAAGCAATCCTGTTATAATCAGAATTCTTACAGACATTTCTCTATTTTCATGTTTAATAGAGCTTTTTTTGTCTCCTACAAAGTTTCCCACCAAGGGCTTTCCAAGCATTGTGTAAAGGCTTGATATAATGWTATTTATAATGATTTACATCATTAACACTCCCATTTTACAAACAGAAAATGGAGACCTMAAAAAAATCATACAATAGCATAATACAGAAAATCCCAGCTCCCACAAAAAAGAAATTGAATCAAAGCCTCCTGGCAAAAGTCCCCTTTCCAACTCCCTCTATTTAGTTGCTATGCAGCCTTGTTTTTTCTTTTTTTTTGCAAAAATGACCAAACCAATCAGATGAGAGAACAGCAAGAAAATTGCAAGCTTTGACATACTTATTTCTACACTGCTGGCATTAGTACAAAAATAAAGATTTTTATTAACTAGGTTACAAAAATAAATTCTATTGAGTCACACAGGATCTCATTGGGAGGTTTACTTGACTTTGGAAGATAAAGCCTGTTTGAAACGTCTCTTTAGATCTTGCATGTTGGGAGATTTGGGCCGAGGGATGATGGACGATCGCCTCCTGTCCGTGCTGTTGGCATGCTGTAGTTTGCTGACCTCCTTGCAAAGATACTGGAAGACATCACAGACGCCYTGGGAGTCCTCACTGGTGGAGATTTCCAAGAACAGGCTGCCCAGTTCATTTGCCAGCTGTAGTCCCTCTTTTGCCTGTACTTGCCTGGCRTGGAGGAGGTCTGCTTTGTTCCCCACAATAATGATGGGAGTCCTGGTGTCGGGGTGGACCTTGCGTATGTGCTGGTAGAGAGGCTGGACTGACTGGTAGCTGCTGTAGTCTGTGATGGAGTAGACCAGCAGGAAGCCCTCCGCCCACTTCACACACCTGGACAGGGAGTCCAGCACCTGCACGCAGTCTTCCTGCATCTGCAGTACAAGAGAGAACAGATTTGGCACTGGCTGATAAAAGTATAAAGCCTGTATGATAGCACAGTCAAACGGGTCCAGGAAGCCTGAGCTCTGTCTCAGGAAACGAAGTCCGGACACGGAGGAAATTTGGGCTCAAAAGCTGAGCCGTCTTTGGGTGGCAGAGAAGAACCGATYGATCCAAAGTATCTCCGTACCTGGATACATCCCGGCGTGTCTTGTATCTCTACGGCAACGTGGTCSCCGTCCAGATGGACCAGCCGGGAGTAGAGGCTGCCTGGGGAGCAGAGAGCCGTGAGCCGCCGGACGCGGGGCCCCGCCGCGCCCGTCCCCGCCGCTCCCCGCCGCTCCCCGCCTCACCTGTGTTGGGCTCGTAGTCGCCGATGAAGCGCTTGGTCAGGAACCGCACGATCATGGCTGAAACAAAGAGCGAGCGCCGCGTTAGGCAGGACGGACGGATGGATGGACGGGCAGGGGAAGGGGACGGGGACGGGCAGCTCCGCGGCCCCGCACTCACCGCTCTTGCCGACGCCGCGGGCGCCCAGCACGACCAGGCGGATCTGGGCGCCGGGCGGCCCCGGGGGGCACTCGGCGATGGGCGCCAGCAGGAAGGGCTGGGACATGCTCGGCAGGCGCATGGGAAAGGCGGCTGGGCAGCCGGAGTGCTCGGAGCGGCTCCGCTCGGCTCGGCCGGCAGCGCCCGGAGCGGACAGCCCCGGCGGATTTTAAAGGCTCTGTCGGCAGCGCCGCCCGCGGGGCCGCTCCCGCTGCACCGCCCCACCGTCCCTCCCCGCTCCCGCTGCACCGCCCCACCGCCCCTCCCCGGCGGCACCGCCCCGGCTGTCCCCCCGCGGTCCCCTCCGCACCTGCCGCTCAGTGCCATCCTCTCGCTGCCCATCGGGCTTGTGCCCCTTCCCCTTTCTCTCCGCCCTCCCCGCTGCCAGGGTGTGGAGTGGCCTTGGCAGGCACAGGCACCGGGGCCCACGTTTGGTGCGAGCACCCTGCTGGGCATCCCCCCAACCCAAGGCAAGCGGCAGATGCCAGCACAAACCTCCCTGGGCTTGGGATGTGCACCTCCAGAACTCCCACCAGCCTCAGCTGCAGACAYGCTCTGGCTTTATGCCACCCTCCCTGCACTGAGGGACTCCAGTCTTGAAAGAAAGGAGTCTTTTACCTCAGACTATTTTGTTTCCCACACATCCCGAAAACATCCCTCTATAGCCAGTGTTGAAAACTCAGGTTGTGGATCAAGCAACAGCCAGACCTGAAACCTAAGTGGTCTTGATTGGGCCCTTTGGGTTTTTGAAGCAGAAAAGTTTCAGAGAGGAATGGTGCTCCATGGTCTGCCCTTTAATGAGCCTCAGACCTGCAAGCAGCTGTGTGGATGCTTCCGTCTCCACAAACCACTGCTCTGGCTCCTACTTCTGATGTGCACTGCTTTGCAAGTGTGTAAGTGCTTCAAAGATAAATAATCCATTCAGAGGCTGCTCTAATTTTTATCAGGGAGATAGCACATACAGCCGGACACAACATGGAAGAGGGCAGTGGATGGTATTTGAAAGGACTGATCTCATGGCATAGAGGGATGTGAGAATTGCTGTGCCCTGGATGTGGTGTTTATACCAAAAGGCAGCCCAGGTGACCCTGGATGCTCACACATAGAGGCAGCCAAGTTAAGACAATACTAATTAACATCAGTTAAAGTTGTACCTGCAGAAAAGCACTGTTGAATACTTGTGTTTCTCTAGTACCAAGAACCCCTATGGGAACACCAAGACCCTTTTAACTTCCAAAACTTATTGCCTCTAAAGTTTCTACTTCACTCCCAATCATGCCAGTGAGCTCTTTTCTTTAGGGAAACAAGATTTCTCTTGTATCACTAAAAGCTTTTGGTTTCCAGAAGTTCCTGCTATTGTCATCTGCTCCTATTGTCAGGGAATCACTTGTCTTTGGCCTTACAGTGCCAGCAGCAGCAATTTTTACACATTTCTTTACAAAAGAGCTATCAGAGTACATTCAGCGCCTCTGAAAGAATTACACAGAAAYAAATCCATTCCAGGCAGATGATTCCCAGGTGCTGAGATGTGAAGGCAATATTAAACATCCACCCTTCTCAGACCTTGAGGAGGTGCCCCTTTCTGAGCAGCTCTAGAACTCAAGCTGCCTTGCCTGCTGCTGAGAGCACCCCATAAGGRCAAATGGGGATGGTCAAGCAGAAAGATAACATTGCCCAAGCCCAGACAGGACACTTGTGAAGGAATTAATATCCACGGTGTGATGGCCTATCTCCATCAACACCTACCAGGTGCAACAGGAGCAGCTCAGTAAATTGAAGCAGTTGGGGCTCAGATTAGCTGTCCCCATTCTGCAGACTAGGCATCCCTGGGATGTTTGGGCCTCAAAGCTATTCCAAGGGGCCTTTCTCAGTTCTGCAGGACCCCCTTGGAAGTGCCAGGCTGTACTTCCACCCACCCTGTGCAGAAACACAGATGGCCTATGCCACTATCCCTATGGTCCATTACTATCCCCTTTCCCAAAGCAACACTGCTCAGTGCCAGATTTGCCATACTGCTGCCTGACACACCTCCCTATTCCAAGCTCTGGCAATGCTCAACAGTGCTTTTGGGGGAGAGAGTGGGTGGCTTACTCCTGTGACAGTGGCAGGGAAGACATCCTGAGAGCCTCTGAAGCTTGTTTTTGTATTTTTCTGGATTCCTGAGTTGTATGGGTGCTGCTGATGAGAGCAWTCTTCCTACCCCATGTTTGAGCAAGGATGGTTATGACCATGGAAATCCCCACAGCTGTAACTTGATTCTTACACAGACCTTGGTAGTAATCCACTGAAGCAGGTGCATGGACACGAAAAACCTCCTAATCTTGTCTTCCATACAGCCACCCTCAGCAGTGCAGGGACAGCTGGTACCTTCTTCCCATGCAAGGAGACCACTTACAGCAATGGAGTGCCAATTAACTGCAAGAGACATTAGCTGACCCCAGTCAGGAGGTCCTAGCCAAGGATCGGCCCAGTTTAACCATGGCTTTTTCATGACACAAAGGAATCCAGTTCCTTGCAGTCTCTGCAAAGACAGGGCAAGCCTGTCCTGCCCGTCCCGGGATAAGGAAGGCCACCCTCTTCGGCAGGTGTGTGCATAGCTCTTGGCATCCCCTAGATGTGTCATCCCCTGCTGASATTCCAGCATATTCTGGATCTGGGATGGCAGCCATCTTTTAGATCATGAGGGCCACGAATATGCSGAGTCCAGAACTGCACTGAGAACAAAGGAAAGAACATCAAGACTGCTTGCTCCTTCCAATRCGCACAATGGGAAGACTATAAAATCCCTTGCCCCAGTCAGGTTCAGACCCTCCTCAGGGTCGTCAAGGTCCTCAGCCTGCAGCTTCTGCACAGTTCCTCCTCCTCCCTCCCAGTCCTTTCTGCCCTTTCAGACGCTCCCAGCCTAACACTGCRTACAGAGTCCTCTAGAAACCTCAAATCCTGGTGTTGCCAATATGCTAAAAAATATTAAGCCAGCATCTCAGAAGGCAGCTTCCTTGCTGCTTCTCTAGGAGACAACAGATTTTGCCAGGGCTTTTGGCAGGGAACCAGCTTAAAGGTTTGTGGCCGTAAAGGAGTCTCAGAACAGGACTGCAGAGAACTTGGTTACAGCTTATGGGTATATGAAACCCCTTCCAGGGCATATCAAAACTTCTGGCCATAAACCTGGTAAGGAAACATGCTTCACGTTTCAGCTCATGACATGAAATGTCCCAACAGGCAGTTCTTCAGCTTTTCCAAATTCACAGACCATCTTCATCAGAATTGTGCAAAATCAGGAAGCAGACTTCAGCAGGAGGTACCGAGACCTGTTAAGTATCTGGGCTGTGCTTCTGCAAACCTCAGATGACCACAAAAACCCGTACTGCACTAAGTGCAATGGACAGACAGGTTATACCTTAGTTAATTTGTCCTGTTTCCGAACATTAAAAATAAAAAAAAGGTTATTCTCTTCCTGTACAAACTCAGCTTCATTTTCAGTCAGTTCTAGGAATCCTGACCAAGGAAAAGTGTTCCCTTCCTCTCTTCCCAGCCCAGATAGAGCTTCCAAACACGCATTTACAACCAACTACCGCTGGCATATTGACCTTAAAAACACCTTCACTAAATAAACTGAAAAGTGTTGCAATAGTGTCTGGGAGCATAGCTCTTAAACAAGACCACTGTAATGCTGTCCAGTCTTATTATTCCAAATTGTTGAAAATAATTCAAAGTTTAGAGCTATGCCCCACTTATGATGTTAATCATTTCATCATGCTGCCACAGCAAATCCACCGTGATTTTGACGAATGAGTACAAACCAAACACAGAACCAAAATAGCTTAGACTTGCATGCACAAGAAACAAATTTAAAATGCTACCACCAAAGTTTGTATCCAATATAGCTTCCCACTTAATTCCTACAAAGCCTAGTGGAAAATTRTGTTTATCTTGGGAGGTAAATAGCAATTTTAAATGGCTGTGGAAACCAAGCTAAAGAGCTTGATAAAGCTCTTAGTACACAAATCTTGCTGCTCCAAGCCCCTTGACTGTAAAAGCCAAGTGCATTAGGAGCCAAAGCGAGGGCTTCAGGATAAGGTGGTGCAYTCCACGGCTGACACCTACAGTGTCAAATCATAGCACCACTGTCATGGATGCGTCTGCTAAGGGGCAAGCTTTCCTGCATCTCCTTCAGGTCACTTCCKAAGTCATTCCATGCTGTCATTGAAYGTCATTCATGCCTGCTCCCTCTTCTGAGATGGCAGCTTGGAGAAATTTCACACGTAGCAATYTGCTCACTGGAACTCAAACTCCAGCACCTAAAGGCCATCACCCTTAGATACCAGCCCAAGCCAGACTCTGAAGTCAAGGTCTGAAACCTACATTCTGTGAGAATGGGAACACCACAATCAAGAGTTAGGTGAAAGGCAAACCTCATCATCTCTCCATTTCTTACTCCCACACTTACCAGCTGCCGTGCTGTTCAGCAACTTTCAACAGGCAACACCTAAAAATAGCTTGAGGTCAGTTGCTTCTGTAATACTTTTTTCTCTCATCATGTAGACAAGAGTTATACATCACTTACTGAAGGCAGCTGAGCAATGCCTGACATGATACTTCAACATAAAATATTATTCACCTGTTATCTACAATACAATTAAGCTTGAGATGGTCCTTTTTCAAGGCTAACCAAGCAGGTTACCTTCAGCACCCTCTAGCACGCTTCATGCTGCTTTAAACAGCACTGGTCAGTAAACAGCTGAAAATCTCCCATTTATAGGAGAGATTCCAGCATAGGCAGCACTGGGCTTTTGCGAGAGATCAGCAAATCTGGCACGAGAGGAATTCATTAGAACATCCAACGGGTATGCAATAAACATATAAAATGCAACTCTTTAGCTAYGCAAGCCAATTTAAATATTAAAAGTCAAAATACAAAGGCTGGCAGTTTTGGATTTAAAGCTTTGTTTCCTAACTACTACTATTTTGTAAGAATGCTTATTGACATGGGGATGCTCTAAACATCAATTTGCAGATCACAATGGTTGATCACCAAAATCTGCCCACAGACATTTTTGTAAAGGTTGTTTTCAAAAATTGTTTCGACAATTCTTTGGTATCCATGAGGCTCCTTAGCCAAAACCTTGCATCAATGAAATCTGAAGCCTATTATCACTTTTCTTACAAAAAAAAAAAAAAAAATCAGACAAGTGACACTGGACAGTTCTTGGTACAAGTTCTTAGTTTGTTGGTAAAATATTCCATGTCCTCTCATACTATCTCATGATCATTACTAAGCACTAGCAAATTTCATTGTTCCCAGCATTCATCATCTATATAAATGACTATACTCATCAGCAAAAGCTGCAGATGACCTAAAATGACCAAGCATCATGTTAATGTAAGCTAAATAAATAAACTTTGATAAAACAAGGTTTCTGAAGCATCTGTTCAAACAAAAAAACCCCAAACCCAACTAAATGAATCAGCTACAATCACATACACTTGTCCAAAACCAAATCTTTAATTTATCTTTTTAAACRTGCATTATGCCATGAATTCATAGGGAATTGGCTCCAGCAGCTCTGGATCCTTGCCATTAGTTCTCACAAAGTGTGCTTCTCTTGGTGGGGCAGGCTGTTAACAGAAAAATAAAAAATGAAAACAGTATTACAGCTCAAAAGCAACGTTTTGGAAAATAACATTTTGTCAGCCATTGAGTACCTTATTAAATAAACATTACAGCAATTTTACCATTCCTAGTCTCATAAATTTGATTCAAGGAGTAGCAGTAAGAAAATGAACAACTACAAAGCATGCCTGACTCTTGCTGTTGATTCAAAAAATCTATGCTTTAATCTCTGCAGCTCACCAACCCAATGGAGTGATGTGTCCTGCAGCTCCAGAAGCAACAGCCATTATCTCATCTCTGAAGTCTGGTTATTAATTCTTTCCTTCAAGGGTTACAATAGAAYCTGTTGCAACTAAAAATTCAACTAAATGGAAGACTCTAGTGACCCTAGAAATCATCCAGAGTTGCTGCTACAGATTAGCAACAGAACAGGAAGTACCCTTTATTCACAACTACAGCTGCAATTCTCATTAGGCACAGAGYAGTTGTGCTTAGGCACCAAACATCCCAGGCTCCCAGATGTCGACACACTGCATGCAGCCACTCTGCTCCAAGAGTAAAGTAACCCTACAAAGAAGGATTATGACCCCAACACAAAGATTACCTGACGTTTCAGTTGAACCCAAATGCCTTTTTCTTTTGCTTCCTTTTTCTTCCTTTCATTTTCCTTCACACGCTGCAGAAAGCTGTCTCTGCTCTTGGAATGTTTAATATGCTCAATACGCACRTTAATTCTCTTGGCCAGAATCTTGCCCCTAAGAAAGGGAGTTAGTTTTTAATCTGCACTTGAAAAAGATCCAAAACAAGACTTACAGCCCTTACAGAAGTAACTCCATAAGCTCAATTACAGGTAATTTTTCTTTAAAGGTCAGTACCTCAAAACACAGCTGCAGATGCATACGAGACATAACTTATATATTAATAAGCTTTTAGTTATGTATAACACTGTGATATCTGACAATTTCAAATTGTGTGCTGACAATTTCAAATTAAAATATGGAGAATATGTGACTTTAACCTCTTAGCATACAAACAAGTAATTTTATTACCAATGCACAGCAGTCCAGCCCCTGGAACAAAAAACCCAGCTTGTCTTTTTTTGACTAAACTGTACAAAATACAGCTGCATACAGCTGCAAACTAGTATTTAAAAAGGGCTTCAATACCAGCACACTGGCTGAAAACTCCTGCTAGGTAATGTGACTTTAGGTGCTGCTAAGAAAAACAGAAACTGTTTCCTCTGACAGGATCCAAGTCAAATGAGCATCACTTGCTTGGGTTATTAAAAGGAAATATACTTTACCCACCTTGAATGACCAATCAAGACAAGAACTGTCTTAACTGGCAAAGTGAAAGGAGGGTGCAATTACAGATCAACTATCTTAAATACCAAGTTTTAATACATAGAATTTCATTACTTACTTAACCTGCTTGTTAACAATAATGCCCACAGCGTGCTGAGTAACATTATATACCCTTCCAGTCTTCCCATGGTAACACTTGTGGGGCATGCCTTTTTGAACAGTACCCATACCCTGTTAAGTAGCAAAAGAAGAGGAAAAAAAGGAGGGGAAAAAAAGGAGGGGAAAAAAAGTAGCATCAAAGACTCAGAAGTAATTAAAAGTATACATTGCAAATTATTTGAGTATAATTTTTAAATCTTCCCATTTTATCTTAAAGTTGAATTTATAACCATGTATTTTACATCTGAAGACTACCCAATTTTGCTGTCAATTCTGGCTGCTTTCAGTGTCGGTGAAATGACTGATCACTTTGCTTACAGAAAGAGCAAGCAATCACAAGAGACATTCATCATCAAGCTCCAGTGCGTCAAGATTCTGAACAGTACATTCTCCAAGAGTCAAACAACAAACAAGAAAATTACACAACAGCTTCTGTGTAATTGTTACAGGAACACGGCATTTCAAATAAAACCAAAGGACTCAACAAAGTAGGAATCCTTGGTGAAAGGCTTTCAAATTCACTACAACTTAGTTATGAAAGTACAGTCGACTTTAAAAGAAGTTCTAAAAAATACCAAGTGATGGGAAATGCTGCTCTTTTAATGCATTTTCCCCCCTGTATGAATCCATATGATATATCTTTACATTTATTTGCTGGTTTCCAATTTTAAAATAGATGCATATGACATAACTATGAGCTGCCCCACCATAAATATGGCTCATCTGAAGAACAGGCTCAAGTCGGGCAAAAACAGAACATCTAAAGTGACAGAGGGGGTTCCTATCAAAGTAGTGCTATTAACTATGGCATATTTCACTCACATTTTTCAGCTGAACACATAGCCAATTATATATACCTACAAAAGCTCACACRCACCAGCATGTGACACTGAAGTGCTACTACTGGTCCGGCAGCACTGTCATTCCAATGTTGCTCCAAAAGTGAGCAGCAGACATGACCCAAGAACAAAAGTCCACCCCAAGGAAGTGGAGACTGCACAGGACTAYACTGCTTTAGCTTTTAGTTACATAGTACTGCAGGGAGTACCTTGATATCAACTATGTCACCCTTCTTGTAGATCCGCATATAGGTAGCCAGAGGGACAACTCCTGTTAAGAGACACAAATTTAGATACTTAGGAAGCCCAGAATTTCACACTGAAAAAGGATGGGGGACGCAGATCATGCATTTGATACGATTTTCCTAAATACCTCAAAAATCAAACCTACTTTTTTTTTTTTTTAAGTAGTAATTACACACTTCACACACTTCTAATTTTTGAAACACCCAACTAAATTAAAATTAGATTCAATTGTGTTCCTAATGCCAAAGTTGAAGAGACATTATTTAGTATGTCGTTATAAATACAACTGCTTACTGATCAGATGAAAAAGACCTGTTTGTTTTAAGARACTGCTGAAATATTTTCTTCATATTCAAATTATTTTTCAGGCATTGAGAAAATTAGCACTGTTACTACTGTCAAGCAATCAAAATACCAATGCATTTGCAGCACGAGCTCTGAGCAAATCTGCACATAGCCCTACAGTTTTTAGCCCAAGCTGACAGAAATCCTTTGGCACAAACCCTTGTTTTGCAAACAGCCCTCAGGGACTGCAGATGTCCATCACGTCAGTAACTCAATGCAGTGTTGATACTGTAAAAGAAACTCACCATGCTTGCGGAATGGCCTGGAGAACATGTAACGCGTCCCCCTCCTCTTTCCCTTTGTGTTCGTCATTTTGGCTGATTACTGTAAAAATRAAAACAAATTATTCAGAACTAGGTGACTCACCACAAAGTTTATGGAATTTTCAGGTATTTCAGATTAATGGAGTCTTTAAACCKATTCAAACTGACACTGCTTCAATCCAAGCAATGGTATTCACTTAGAAATCAGTACTTATAGAATCACAAGTTAACTCTGGTTAGAACAGGTGCTAGCAAGGCACTCAGTTCAACTGCTTACAGCAAGGTCCACTATGAGATCAAACCAGGTTACTCAGACCTTTGTCCAGTCAGGTCTTGAAACCTTTTACATGCAACCTAAACATCTCCTGACACATCTTCATGCCACTTCCTCAGGTCCCGTCACTGGTCACAACAAACATCAGTGCCTGCCCCTCCACTTCAATTCATGAAGAAGCTGTAGAGATGAGGTCTCCCAAGAGACCTTAGATACTCCTTCTATGGCTTTCCCTCCAGACSCTACTGCAGAGCCTCCCTAGGCAGCAGGTTTGGAGGCCTAGCCGTTCCTATTAACATTTTTTCCCCTCATGGCCAGTCTGAGCTTCTCCTTCTGACTTCACCTGGTTGTTTCATGCTTCTTCTACATGCCCTTGCCGGGCACCAGGATACATCCTCTTAATCGAGGCGCTGTAAGGTGTCCCCCGAAGTCACTTCTACTTCATTCTCTCAACCTCTCCTTACGAGGCATGCGTACGGCAGRACCTCCACCACATTTATCGGCCACTTGTACGACTGACACAAGGCTCACATGCTCTGCAGGCCGACGGGGCCAGGCAATCCCGGCGGCGTCCGTCCCGAGGAGCCACCCATGCCGCCTTCCCTGCCCCGGTATCCCGCCGGCGGCCGCGGGGTGTGCGGGCCTGGCGCCACGTGCTGTAGCCCTGCTGCTCCGTGCCTGCATCCGCTGCGGCCATCGGCGGCCCCTTCCTCCCTCCCTCTCCTCTCTCA